ACTGGAGTGTGTGCCTGCTTCAAAACTCTGCTAGGAAGAAGGGGGGTATTCTGTCTTCAGATCACAGCTTTCCCAATTTCTTATACAGCAAGAAGTGGGATGAATAATTTGCTTTTGACAGAGACAGAAGCCTGCTATTACACCGAATCAATACACAGCTTGAAATTTTATCAGCTGTAGGTATGAAGATATTGATTTAAAAAAATTGTTTAAATGTATTTGGAATTGTAAGTTGAAGTTTAAATAAACTGAAGTTTATGACAATTTGATTGCACATTTAAGAGAAGAGAAATATATTGCTCATGTTTCTCAAGTCTCAAGGTCAAGTTTATAATAAAAGGAAAGGTTACCTAGCTCGTTCCTCCCAAGGAATAGAGAGCCCACGCACGAGAAGGTTTTTATTGCACCCTGAGGACATGAGCTCACTTTCACTTACAGTTTCTAATCTCATCCACAATTCTTGGTCATGTTACCATCATAATACTTGGATGACCATTGTGGTTCACAAGTGACTTTTAATGCATTGAGGCATCGGCATTCACAAGCCTCAGTGAGCAAATACTGATACATTTGCTTTAAGATTTTAATTCCCACAAATACCACTATAATAGCTGCTACCAAGTTGAAGAATTCCTCTATACAACTTCACTAAAAGTTCACAGTCTTAAAGATAGTGAGTACCTGTCACAACTCCCTAATTTCTTTCTGAACAAATGACCTTATTTATTTTTTATCCACTTACATCTTGGGTTGAAATTCACAATAACAAAACAGTGAATGAAAATGGTCCCTTACTCTCACAGAAAACATTTGCTAACACCACCCCCGGGAAATGGATTATGAGTTCCTATCAAAACAACCTTCCCATACACCCTCCAGGTGTTACAGTCACCCAACAGGGATTAGTGAGGGACTGTGGAACTAAAGTACTGAAGAGGCTGTAAGACAGAGCTAATCATTTGTATTCCCACCTAAATCAAGACAAATCTGGCAGCAACAGGAATCTGATAAAATAGGAGAAACTGGACTTGCCAAACAGAGGAGCATCCCCTACCCTCCACAGGAAAAAAGAAATTAAGCTGCAAGGCCAGAATTACATTCACAAATGGATTTGGGTCTAAAGAAGTTAAAAATTCCATGTTTTGGACACAAGCACTCCATTCACTGTTAGGAAAGAATCTAGGAATAGAAGTACGGTCTCAACTACCATCACTGCTTCCTCTTACTGCTGTTTGTGTAAAACCTGACGGTCAGGGCACATCTCACTGACTGAAATAATGCAAAACCAGCCAAAAGAAAAGGATTATCACCTTTATAAAGTGGATTATTTCTAGAAGCTTAGTTAACTAACAGCATGTTCAGAAGTTTTGTGAAAAACCTGTCTGCTCAATGTCTATCAAATATCCTAAGGACTGTAAACCAGGAAGATCACAGTGCCACAACAATTCTGGATGGTGCCTTCAGAGATACCTCTGGAGGAGGCTCCTCTAGAATTCAGGCTCAAGTGATTTGGGAAGGTAACAGTATCAAGTCGCCTTCTACTTCTCTTTTAAACATTATCAAGTCAGAAAGAATGAAACTGCCAACACCTGAACTGCTGCAGTTCTCAACCAAGCACACTAACAAACCCACTCGTCTTTTCCCAGCTTAGTTCCAGACCCCATTGTGACAGTCAATACTAGATGTGAGCTGGATAAAGCATTATTTTATCACCAAGTTAGTGGTGCAAAAATCTAAAAGTTTCTACAGGTTTCAGTAAAGACAAATATTTTCAAAAGTGGCTTCAGTAGGCTGCGGATTTTGCAAACTCTGTTCTGAAAGACAAAGAGTTTCTTCAGCATTACTAAGGGAATAGCTGGATCTAGAATTATTTCCAAACACCATCCCTTTTCATTTAATTACTGTTCTGTATTTCACTAGAAGTAGGATATTCTAAAAGGCTGTGCTTTTGTTGTAATTCTACTAATGCAAACATATTAGTATAAACATTAGCATATATTAACATATATAGTAGTCTTGCAAGGTGAACTATCGTAGGCCTGCAGTTTGATTTGCTTAGATTGATTGTTATGCTATAAATATTAAAAGGTATAAAAGTAAAGTTGAACAGCCTGTAAAGACCTTTACTGGAAACTATCACTGCACACAGGAAACCAGACCAAGGAGCAAAGAAGTTCCTTTAATGAAACTCTGAAAGTAAGGTCACTTATTACTGTCTCGGCTTCTTGCAAAAGAGCTGTAGTCTCCAAATCAAATAGCAGGGGAAAAAAAGAATTCATTTCATTCTACTACTGGATGTTACAAAACACAATCAATCCAGGAAGCTGTTATAAAACTGTCACTCCCTACCACACCTGCACCTTTTACAGTATTTCCTTGCAGATACCAAGTTTCTCAGATCATTCAATAGGCATTTATGATTTCAGCTCTGACACAGTATGTGTACTATTACCACACAGGGACACTGAGATTGTTTTTCACCTAATACCTGAAGTTTTGGGATAAACCTGTGTGATTCCAGTGACTTCTTGGGTTTGCACACAAAAAAATCCACAAGTATATTTCCTTGCACCAGACTAGGCTGTTTATTTTCAATATTTCAAGATTCACTGCTGCCTCATTAGGAGTCCTGTCCTGTGAATGTAATTGGAAAGGAAGAGGAGAAAGCCTTAACCATTACACCCAAAAATATATAGAAAAAGCAAACCATTTAAGAAATTGTCACTTAATAAAGACAACCCTAAGAACACTATTTTAAGGTAGTACATCAGAAGAAATGCAATTCCAAGAACTGAATTAGGCTGGCTATAACTAGAACTCATTCTGCTTCACGCTAGGATGCAGAAGTTTAAATACTACCACAGTTTGGGCTGCAGCAGCTGCCCTTCCTGTCCATGGCAAGTCACTGTTCTTCTGCTTTTGAGATTCACACTCAGCTTTCAAAGGCACAGTGACAAGGCCTTCACATTTAAACCCAGTAACATAATAAACCCTAGACAGGGATGTAATGTCGGAGTTTTGGTTCCTGTTTTTTCGCTACACCTGTAACAAGTTTAGCCAAAGCCACTGAAAGATATTCCCTGGAAGGAGGCTCACAACCCTTCAGGAAGTACGTCCAGATGCTCCAGAGGCCCCTTCAGTAGTGTCTACAGACAAGAGCAGACAAAGAATTGTCCTGTACTACTGACAGCCCTGCAAACTGCTCTGTGCCTTTGCCCAGCTGAATTATTTGGTCTACCCCCTTTACCCTGGAGAGCTGCTGGCAAGATCCTGTACTGCAAACTGCACCTTATCACTCTGTGCAGTGAGGCTGGCAGTCAGAACTCCCTGCAGCAATGAAGAGCATTCCTATCACTGGTGTGTTCTCTATAAAATTAATTACATCAATGTAGTACAAGTCAAATGGTTTCTTGTGCTGCATTAGTGATTTTTGTCCAAAGGAAGTGGTTAACAGAAAGCCCAATAATTTGACAGTGAAATAAGATCACTCTTAAATTCACTCATGAGACAATCTTGTTAGTATTTAATAATTTTCATTTTTTCCCCAGTATAAAACTAAATCATTTGACCTGTTACTCTTTCCTCTTCTAAAGGCACTAGAGTCACTTCACAACAAGAAATATTTCAAAGGAAGAAAATTTTTGTCCCCTCTAATGACCATCTCTCCTGCCAAGTCTTCTCTTTCCTAGAACTCAAACTTCTCCTTACTCTTCCAAGTTTTTTCAAAGTGTTGTAGTTAGCACTCTACATGCTATTTTAAACAGAAGTTCCTGAAATTCAGCACTTCACTGCATACAAAACATCTTTGAGTACCCATAGCATTGGCACAAGCATGGGCTGTGAAACACAGTTCTGGGTTTGTCCTGTAAGATTGGTCATCTCATGAGCTTTTGTCCCATGTATACAGATCATACATTACTTGTGTTTGGCAGGATATAATATAATCAATTCACTGAAGTTAATTTGGGAAGGGTAAAGAAATTGAGAAAAAAATATTCATTTCTCTTCTAACAGTACCCATTTTTACTAGCATAAAATTATTTTTTAATCAAAGATTGTATCAAGTTGCAATTTTTTTACAGCATCACACAACCTCCAACGTTTTGCTGTTTTCTGTCAGCACAATTAAGTTACATCAGTGATAGCAATTGAAAAAAAAAGTCAACTGTTAAAAGTATTAATGAAGAGTCATAAAAATAATTTAACTAATTTCAAAATTACAAAAACTGATCGAGTAGTAATTTAAAAAAAAATTTTACACAGCATGATAAATCATATCAATGTAAACCACTCATTTTCTCCGTCAAATCAAGAATTTAGAGAGAAAATGAAACCCAAAGTCCTTTCCCCAGCGAACAGCAAGGGCTGTGACACAGAGCTCGGCATCCCCCCTTGACTCAGGGAGGGAGTACGCTCTCGTCTGCGGTTTTCTCCCACATTTCAAGGAAGTTTGCTTATTCCGTATTTTCCTCCCATTGTTTGTATTCCCAGCTCCAACAGGCGGTGTTTACTCCGGGTTCACCTCTGCCGTGGAGCCCTTTCCAGCCGGGCGCCGGGGCAGGCCTGTAACTCCCAGGAAGAGGCAGCCGGGGAAGTTTTGTTGTGCCGGGCTGACCCTCTCCGGGTCAGAGCCGTGGGTCAGACCCGCCCCGGCCCCAACTCCCAGCACCCCGGGGCAGGGCCGGGGGCCGGGCCGGTCGCTGCGGGTCCCGGGCCCCGCTGGCCCCGCTCAGCCCGCACGGCCCCGGCGCGGCCCGGCCACCGCTCCCACGATGGAGGAGGTGCCCCGGCTGTCACCGCCGCCCGGGCCCGCCCGCAGGTGTCGGGCACCGACTCCCGCCCTCACGGGGCGCCCGCCCGGCGAGCGGCGGCACCGGGCGGGGGCGGCGGCGGGACCGCACTGCCCGCGGCTCCGGGGGGCGGCGGAAGCTGATCGCTGAACAAACGCACTGCCCCCCACCCTCCCGAGCCCCCACACCCGCCCCCCGCTCCCCACTCACCCGCAGGCCCGGCCAGGGAAGGAGGGGATGGCGGGCGGCGGCGCGGGCCGGGCCCAGACAGCTGCGCTGAGGCGACGAGACGGCGACGGTCCCTTGGCAGCCGCGGCGGCGGGGAGCGATCCAGCCGCGCCGCGCCGACGACGCCTCTCGGCCGGGCCGGCGCCGCGCCCCCGGCGCTGGCGTGGAGGCCGCGGAGCCGGGACGCCCCGGCGGCCCCGGAGCTCGGCGGCAGCGGCGGCAGCGGCGGCAGCAGCGCCCGCAGCGCCCCCGGCCCGGCGCGGCCCCGCCGCCCCCCCCGCGCCCGCCCCGCGCGCGGCGCTGCCCGGTCCTGCTCCCCCGCACAAGCTTGGCGGCGTCTGCCGGCCCGCAGCGCCCATTGGCCGCCGCGCCGAGTGACGTCAGGCGCCCCCCCCGCGCCATTGGCCCGAGCCCGTGTGTGTACACACAGCGCCCGCCAATCCGCGGCGCCGCGGCCGGGGGGGCGGGGCGGAAGGGCTTGGCCGACCCAGAACCGGGGCCACCGCCTGCCCCTCGCGGCGCGCGCCGGGCTCTGTCCGGATCGCGGGGCCGTAGGTTCGAGCCCCGCCATAGCCCCCCGCGGCCGCACCTGCTGGTGCTGCCGGCCGGTGCGACGTGAATAAATAAATAAATACAGGGAGAGACTTGTCTCTATACACAGCTCGCGGCGCCGCGCTGTCTGCGGCCGCCGGCCCTGCCGCTTATTTTCGAGGCGGTGGCGGGGCCGCGTCCCGGGATGCAAAGTTCAGCCCCGCCGCGGGTCCGGCGCCTCGGGCAGCAGGAACGTCCTTCCCGGGGCCGGCTCTGCCCCAGCCCCGTGAGCTCCCTCCTGCGAACAAAGGCGCCCGGGCCCCGCAGAAAGCGGCGGGGCCGGGCAGCAGCGACCGCGCCCTCGCACCTCGGCCCCGCCCGAGGCGGCCCCGGACAGGCGGGGACAGCCGGGCCCAGCTCCGCACCCTGGCACAGCCGGGAGACCTTACCTTTATAAAAACTGATTTCAACAAAGCGGGATTAAGTACCTTTACAGAGACAACAAATAGAAAGCACGCCCAGGAGTAAAAAAATAAAATGGGCACTAATTCCGTTGGAAGCGACGCTGGAACATTTGTTAGGACAGGCTTTCTCCGGGGCAGCTGGGCACAGGGCCAAGGCTCGCAGCTACCCATCCTTCACATTTGTGGAACAAGCTGAGCAAAACAAGGTTTATGGGGACACAGAAACAATATTTAGGTGCTTTAGGTACCTCTAGATCGTACACATACTAGATTAAACATGGTAAACTTGTGTTTTTTCTTGCTTTACAGACAACATTAAATGCTCTAGGAAGACACATTTGATCCTGTCCCCTTCGCTAAGAAGACAAGGAACGTCATAAAACAGGTGTTCAACCCATAAAACAGAGTTCTTAAATGTCAGTCTAAGGAAAACATTAGCAAGCTAGACCTGTATGTTTACCTCAGTGTGGCAGTTCACAACTGAAAAACTAGCATTTGCCCAGGAATTTGCTGACTTTGTGGTTTCAGTTGCTTTTCATCCTCTATATAATACTTCCATCACATGTAACAAGACCTTTTACCAATATTTGTAGTGTTATGCAAGATATATTCATGAAAGCACTAAAAAAATGCAAACTGTTGTGTATTCTCTTGCAGACCCCCTCCAGCAGGTACAACCACAATTGCTACCGTGATGCCCGCCCTGACACAAGTGCAGAAGGCATGCACTGCCTTGGAAAAGGAAGCAAACCAGGGTGGCTGGTTTATTGCAGTATTCAATAAGTTACCTGAGCTAAACAAATACTTGAACTCAAACCTAACCTTGATAAAGACACTTGGGCTTCATATATCTCTTTCTGGTTCATTGGTCTTGACCTTTCTGCAAGAAACACCAAGGAGCTGAAGTCAGATGCTAGAACTGATTATGAATGTATGAAAAATAGCCATTTTAACCACAAAGGAGAGAAAGAAAAGTCACTCCTGTAGTTTGCATTTGCTTTCTACAGCAAACTGCAGAATAACTATATATATATATATATATACACACACCCTTGAGTTTGAAGCTGGTGAGACAGTTATCAGTTCACATGAGGGTAAGGACACTACAGAGGTAACATTCTAAATCAGTCCTTCAGAACTTTCACAAATCCCAAACTTTATCCCAGAGTGAGGGCTGCACTTAAAAACAGCTTAGAATTGGGGTTTTTTAGATATGCTAAGGCATGGGTTTAGCAGATACTTACAGTCCAGCCTGCACTGTGGGGAGCTCTCACATCTCCCTCCAGAACCTGTCAGTAAAGGTTGTCTTATTTTAAATAAAAGTTAATATGAGTGAGGTTCTACAGTGGTCTTCATGCCCTTCTGTTAAGACAGCACAGCACCTGTAAAATCATTTCAAATTCATTATCAATTAACAGGTACCACTTTTAGATATCAGCACATTAAAAAATTCCTGGGAAGATCAATTTTTCTTGTAACAGGTAAGCAAAAGAGACTTTGATCACTATCTGAATTTCTTCAAGATGGCTATTAGTCTGGTTAGTCTTTGGGCAACTGTGCATCACGAGCTGCAGCAGATTCTCTAACCTCCAAAGGTTCCTCCATCTTGGGAGACTAAAAGACACCTCCCTGTTTGTTTCAGAGACTTACTCACTAGTTTGAACCTCTTCACAACAGAACTCAAAACTCTGCATTCCATTTGAATGGGTCAGCTGGTGAATGTACTGAGGCTTTTTTGCATCCTTCATTTGCAGTGAAGTTTCTCTCCTGTAGATTTGAGGCTCATGAAAGGAAAACGGGTGAAATTTCCTGCTTCACAAAATAAAACAGTGACAGTGGTAAAATGGTTATCCTGAATAGTTCCTGTAGGACAATCCCTAGAGCAAGAGGACTATATAATGTCTTGAGTATTTGGATATCTTCTATCTCTTTAGCTGTGCTATTGCCAGGAGGAAAAACACCCCCGTGCAAAGGTGCAGTCTAAGGCCCATGGCTGCTGAGTTACCTTCAGCAAAGTGATTTGAACAGGATCAGGCTCAGCTCCCATTGGAGCTCCATCAAGGAACACTGCCTGAGCAAGCCCAGCAAAACCACAAGATTAACAAGTGGACATAAGTTAAGGAGCTTTCGTCAAAAGGGCAATAGATGGACATTATCCCAGGGCAGATATTGATGACTAAACTCTTTCACAGTGAGAGCAAAGTCTAAAATACCAGCAACTGAGGCACAAACTCCAGCCCAAAATACCACACTGAAAGCCTTTCTGTTCGGCCTTGGAGAACCTTCTTGCTAACAAGTATTTTCTTTAGCAGTGACATTGTGAGGACTGAGAAAAGTCACAAGCTGAACACAGGAGTTAAAGCAAAGCAACCGTTTCATATATCCTGTAATTGCAGGTTCTTACTTCACAGCAGGAGGAGGAGGACTATTTATATTAAAGTCTTAGCACCATTTATAAAAAAGGTATATCTAGACTGTATAGCCTGCCACATTACTTGAAATCAGCAAACAGACCTGTTTCTGGACTTCATTTAAGGATTCCCATTAAAGAAGGTTTAGGAGAGAATGGTCTCTGCAACTTGGAAGGACACCCAGAGGGAAAAAAATTTGCCAAGATGTAGCACGGGTTGAAGGGCAGAAAGTAATAGAAGAATAAAAAAAAAGGCATTTTAAGCTAGGGGTGACAAGCAAATGAGATCTAGTTTGAAGAACACAGCTAGAGTAGATGCTCCAACTCATAGTATATGATTGAAACAAACTGAGGAAATAGGGTACAATTTGACCTTCCACGTTTCAGCACAAGAAAAAGTGAATGATAGTCCTTCAGCCCTCTTCAATGACAACTGACAAGTCAAAGACAATTTCCTGTCTCTGGTGTCTGTGGAATACAATCACCCACAGCTTGAACTCAATATTATTCTGAAATGAAAATGTTTAATCATTTTAAATTTTTGAAGCTGATTTACACATACTCCTGAGAAAATTACAATAATTTAAGAGTAGTGATAAGCAAATACATAATAATTAACTACACATTTCTTTAATTAGAATTTATTTGTTTAAAAAATACAAAAGTAATTTATAGCTTCAAAAATAGACTTTTGACTCCCTTTTAGCTAATAATAACAGGATTTAAGAATGGCCTTGAAAATATTAATGGTACAAATATCTACAAGTTAGATAGCATACCTGGAAGTATTTTTAATGTATATGGGTTGGCCATGCTAGATAAGATCGCTTTTCGTCTTTATAAAATTTTTTAAAAAGTGAGCTACAAGCTAGATAGGAACAATAGCTACAAAAATCCTGGATTTTTCTTTTAAATGGAGTGCTGAAAGCCTATTTGCTTTTGTATTTCATCTTAATTTAGTGCACAGAAGTGTCATCACAGAGCTGGGCCAAATGTTTTCTTAGAATGTCAGCCAGAAGTTGGTAACAGGCTACTATCAATAAAATGTCTTTCTACACAATTGAGTTCATCACAATCCACCCCCAACAATCATTTTAAGTTTCTCAGCAATGCCTAGGGGAGTGTATGTGCCTTTTACCCTTCCTTGATGATTAGCATACCAAAGATTTTAGAGATCCAAAGGGAGGTGAGCTCCTCAGGAGAAAACCCATCATAGGAAGAACACCCCCTGTGCAGTACATGGTAGGATTCCAGCAGCTGGGCCACCCGGAGGAGGTCATGGAAGGGACACCAATGCTGCAGCTGGACCACAGCTGTCACAGGGATGATGGGAAGGGTCATTACAGTGTGTAAGTCATCCAGCAGCAGGGGGGTAACCAAGTACCACATAACTCGTATAGATACCATCACGAATTCCAGTTGTGGTTTTCACTGTCCTGTTAATGTCAAGATGTTATAAATATGAATTAAAACATCTTAATTCTTCTGTAATTAAAATGCCAATTTCTACCAGTGCAGGGAGTGTTTCATTGCTTGTAGCCAGGTATCCATAGCAGGTCTGTATTCCTCTGAGTCCTTTTGGGGCTCAAACACTGCTTCTATTCTCCTTAGCTTCTTTAGTTGTTCTTTGTCAGTCCAAAATCCTATAAACAGAAAATTCATTCTCCAGCTCAACTGTAAATATGTTATTTTTGAGTTGTTTTAATCTATTTCCAAGAGATCCAAAGCAGAAACACAGTAAGAAATCATGACAGCTTTTCTTTACTCAACCAACAACTTTCTCAGAGGGAAGCATATTTTTAACATTGTGAAAATCCTTTCCGATAGGATCCACTTGTTTGGAATTCTGACAATGCATCTGCTTAACTGGGATGGTTTCCAAGGACCAGCTCTGGTGCACTGAAGTTCCCTTAGGTTTCATCCACAAAGTGCTTTTGGCTGCAGGCCCTTCTCAATGAAGAAGGGCCACGAACCCCAAGATTTAACTGCTTTCCTACTGTCTTAAAAAATTGCATAAATGGCAGAAAACAGCTGGTGTTACAGATTCAAATTAATTTATGTTATTAAATCATTCTTGCCTGTCAAGGGCCCCAACTTTCTGACACTTTTATTTGGTGAATAAGTCTTACTCAAGCACATAGTTTTTATCTTCCATTTGTGTTATTTACATATCAGAGCAATTTAATGAAAATATATTTTGTAGGTGCATATTCAGCAAAACCATTGACAGTTTGTAGTTTTAAGTCTGGTGAATGATATAGAACAATTCTGTGTGAGTAGAGCTGTTTTTTCTGTTAATAATTTATTTTTTACTTCCATTTCCATGAAAACCTTAAAGAACAGAGGCTCAGCTCACAGATGACAGGACACAACTTCAGCAGGAATGGCATGGCTGCAGGTAAGTGCACATGATCCACCCCCATCCAGCACTGCTCAGGCAGCACAAATATGGGAATGGACACAGAGTCAAGAAAGAGGAGGCAGCAAAGACAGGGTTCACCTCTTTCTTCTCCAGTACATCCTTCTAACTGTACTGTACAGAGAAGCAAACACTATTTACCTTGGATTCCCACAAAAAAGGCTAAAGTAATCCTTTGGGGAGTTCTTACAATTATTTGAAGTTATGCCCTTTTTTTGTCTGATTTTTTTTTCTCTTCATATTTACAAAAATGCATTATAAAGGGAAAAACAACAACCTTTTTAATGTCTACATACCTGAAGCAAGGCCTGCTAGAAAAGCTGCACCAAGACTAGACATATCTGCGTTTGCAGGTTTTTCTATTTTCTTATTAATTAAATCTGAAGTCATCTGCATAACAAAACTATTATTACTGACACCTCCATCAGCTCTATAGGGAGAAGGGAAAAAGTAGTTAGAAAAATGTGTTAAATTCAAATGCTTATTGCTGGCATTTCAGAAAACAAGTCTTGGTGTTCCACACCTATGCATACATCTTCCTGTACCCATACACAAATGTGTTTCCACTTTGTGGGTAAGTTTAGTGGCCAGAAGAAAGTGCCATGAAAAAAAAGAATGTTTAAACTGGGGGAGGAACGGTAGACAGACAGGGACACAGGACACTATCAAAAGCTCTGAAAGCTCTGTCTTTTAAAACCATAAATCATCCTGGCTGAAATGTTAGAGTTTATAACAGAACCTTTACATAGTTACCACCACAACATGACAATAGTCAAAACCATTACACTAAACAAACCCTTTCAGGTGCTCTCAGATCTGGAAGAGTACCCCTTTCCTTATTACCAAATCTTTGTACTAGTGAGCTAAAATGCCTTCACTGTTGCTTCTCTTTATGAGGAAGTTCAGAATGAGGCTTCCATCTATCTATTTTCCTAATAGCATCATGTTGGGGACCAATTTAATGGACAAAACTAGAACTTATCAATGGAAATCTTTAATCATCTGAGAGTACAAAGTAATCGCACTTGCAAACAAAAGTAACTGTGACAAAAAGCAATCTTTGAAATGTCAGAGATTGGTTCATTATGCTCTTGGACTCCAATACCAGCCAAGCATGGAGCTGTTGCTCTATCAAATGTGGTGTAGAAAAGACCTCTACCGTTTATTGCTATAGAAAGTGTTGGGTAATAAAACTTATTAATTGCTTTAAGATCTTCAATTCAAATATGCCAGGTGAAGTCTTTCATACTATTAAAAATTTCCAAATACTCAGTTTTACATTTAGCTAAATTTTGCTGCTGGATACTTTGAAGATTCAATCTGTACATCTGCTAGCTCCAAGTTCCTATGTGCCATTTGACCAGGGATGTGCTATTTCACAGAACACATGAACATTCCAGGGCTCCAGGGACCACCAGGATCATCCTTATAAAGGTTCCTGCAGGGTGTTACACCACAGGACAGGTGGGATAAAGTGAGGGCTCTTTCTCTGTGTTTTCCTTGATGGTGTTGAGACAAGCAAAGAGAAGTAATAGGAAAGTAGAGGACTAATGAAAACAACAACTTGGTAGGAGCTTGTAAGAGCCAGAGACTGGGAAAGAACAAGGGATACAGGACAACAGCTAAAAAGGGAATGAAACTATTTATGGGATAAAAGCAAAAACAAAAAATCAAAAGTAACTGACAGATACTGAAGATGTGCAGATAAAAGGATAGGAGAGCAGTTTACAACTCTACTGAAAACTCCACTGAGTTTATCTCATTATCTTCTAATGCTTAAGCCACAAGTTGAATTGCTACTGATGCTAGTTAACTATTAGTCACTATATGAAGCAGCAATTTTCTATCGATGAATAAAAAATAAAACGATCATACAATTTAAAGTTTACATTACAACATAAGTGGGATCAGAATTCTAATGTTCCCTAGGCTGTACTTCCACACTTCCCATTTTTCAGTTTCCACTCTTAATGTGACTTCTCAAATTTTGGATGCAATTTTCCATGTAAAAAAGTTTCCTAAGGAATCAAAAATTCAGATATTTTTAATCTTTTTGTCTCCATTAAGCCCCCAAGCCTGGCTGTTTCTTCACCTTTGCCTACTCTGCTCCAGTACGTGATGGAAAAGAGAAACTTTTAGCACCTCCCACCTTGTACTCTCAGTTTTCTTCCACTACTCAAGAGTGATTTGTGTCCACATGCCTGCCAGTCTGTTCCTTCCTCTGCAGAGGCACAGGAGGGATAGGAAGGCTGCCTCTCTCTTCATCACAGTGCCGTGCTGACCCCTGGCTGCCCGAAGGAGGAATTTTGTCGGAGAGCCTTCTGAGCCCCAGAGGGCTGGAGGCTCTGACAACTGCTGTGTTCAGAGGAAGCACCTACTGAACTGTGAACTGTAGTCTTCCAGCAATGTATAATTCGGTTAAATTTTCATCAAATGTTGTGAAAGCATATTCACCGTTACCTCACTAAATTTGATCTGCTTCTTCAAAGATTAAAGCAAAACCAATGTCTTAACAACTGAATTGTAAAAATATTCTCCCTCTTTCCCTCACAAATAGAACAAATAGTTTTAACTGATGTCTTCAAAAAATAGTCTGTGAAAGACCCGGCACAAAATGTGTCAGTATGAAAGAATGATTACAAAGGGTAAAATGACCTTTGGGGTAGGCATTGCTATGTGCACTCTAGTGCTACTTGAAAACATGCATTTGCCTTCTCTTTTATTATTGTTTTAATAATTAGAGCAATTTGTTACTCCCCTACTGCCAATCATCAATGCCAATAGGTGTGGGGAGACTCTACTGCTGCTTAAGCTACATTAACATTTGACTTGGGAATCATCCATTTCTCAACAACAGAATTTTTACAGTAAGATAAAATGCATAATAAAGTTCACATCGACCTAAAGTCAAATTCCCATATATCAAATTTAGAAGTTACACAGAACTTACCGAATGGTTTGAAGAGGAATGTGCACCTTCTTCACAATGGTATCATAAAGCACTTTGTTTCTTTAAAAAAAATATTCAGTTGAATTAAGCATTATATATTCCATAAAGTGTTTCCAGTATCTACATAGTCAGAAAATAAAATACAAGGCAAAAAAAGCCTCAGTTCTGTCAGAACTGCTCCAATAGCTAGTGAGTCTCTAAAATGCACAGATAAAAAAAACCAAACCCCCTGAAACTGGTCTTTGGTCCTTATCATTACTACAAAGGCACAAGTATGGCTAAATCATGGCCCATTCTATAGCAAGTCACCGTGGAAGGTTCACTGTTTCCACTGAAAATTGCCGACAGGTTTCTACAGACAAGATGCCATCACTGATTCCTCACTTAGAGTGAGGCAAGTAGGCCAACAGAGTGTTAACTGGAGTTCACCCAGCTATTTTTTAAGGGTAATATCTGAAGGCTTCAAGTTTGACTTGTTCTGAAACATTTCAGTTAATGGGAGAAAATCTAAACACAAAGGATCTCTACTCTTTTCTATTTATTTGTGTGATTCTTGGGAAGTTCTGTGTAGGGGCAGAAGTTGGACTCTATGATCCTGATGGGTCTCTTCCAACTCAGCATATTCCATGATTCTATAATATAAAACTTTGAGCTTCAGGGGTACTTTAAACATAGCTGGAATGGGCTACAGCTTCTGACAAAACACTGTCACCAGAGTAAGGACAAACTTCAAAGAGAAAACATTTTTAGAACATGCAACAAACAATATAATTTAACAATCTATATGGTTACTATATAAAAAAAACCTCTGAACTAGCAAACATACACAAGTGTAATTGCAAAGTGTTAAGAAAAAAGGAAGCAGCTGAAACTCCTTTCCAGCATAACAGTAACGGATCACTACTATTAATATTTTACAATCTGCAGAAGTCCAAGTATCCATTTAATGGTGCTGATCTAAATAAAAGCAAATGTAAGAAATAAGCCAGGTAATTAAGCAAACAGTACCTGAAAGCTATAGATTCCAGTATAGCTCGTACAAGATGGTTTCTGGTAGTGGAAGGCTTCAGCCCCATGAAAGAGGCACATAAATATGTGCCATCCACAGAAACCTGCACAACAGATGTCACCATGAGTTCAGTGAATTGTGTTTGTAGGCTTTTAAGAAAGGAGTCAAAGAGTAAGAAGAAAAAAATAACTTACAACAATTACAGGCAGCAGTGAGAGAAGAAAATTGAAAACAATACGTAAGAGGAATATAGTGTTATTGTAGCTACCTCAGTGAACAGTTTAAATAGCTTCTTTCAAGAGCAAAAGTTTTAAGTGTCTTATTTCAAATCTGACATACTAAATAAGACTAAGCTATGTGATTTATCTTCAAAATATGTACAGGGTACATTTTGTCTAGGACAGGGCACACTGATACTGCTGTTCTCCAACAAGATTTCACACACCCCTTCCTGAACTACTGAAAGAAAGATTAATTGACTTTTAAAAGTAACACTGAAATGGATGATAATACTTTTTATTAATGTATACTACAGCCTATTATCAGTTACACTAATAAGCACAGTCCAAGAAAAATTCTAAGTGTTCTTGTTTTTACAGGAGAACTAGAGGACTAATGTATGAATCTCTGTTTCCACTCCTCCACTACTCTGATGAACTTTATCACAAAATATTAGTTGGCTGATGTGTACCTGGTTTGTGACAATGTTCAATCTTATTTTCAGTGTAGACAGTAACTTTTAAACCGAAACAATCCTTTTCAGTTGTATTGTGCGAAGTATCAATTATGACAACACTTACCAGAAGTTTGAATTTCATGCTTATAAAATACATACACACATATTTATAGTTAGGAAAATGCTATCATATGCTAAAAAACCCAAAACACCAGTGTACAGATAGGCGGACACAGCCAAAAAGAAAGCTGGCATTTTGAGAAATTCCTAAATAGAAGAAACTTCTGCGTCAAAGAAAATATTCTTTTTGTTTCCACATAAAAGTACCCTTACCACTCTGAGAATGGAGCCACTTGTCCAGCTCAGCAGTACAATAAGGATTCATGGCTTCTAAATTTAACGTTTTTCACGTACAAGATAATCTAAAAGGTGTAGACTCATATTCTACATAAGGGTATCTAGAAAGAATTGATCATTAAAAAAAAGAAGAAAAGAGCATGCACATCCACGCATACCCCCCACTGAAGAGCCCTACAGTTTTGCTGTTACTATTAACCACAGAAATGGAAGCCTGGAAACCTATTTCTAGCAGAATGAGTAAAAGGAAAAAAATTATTAATGCAAATATTCACCCCATTTTAAATATAATTTCACAGTGATGTTCCTCTCTGTGTACTGCACCACAGCAGTAGAATCCAGCAAGAAAGACACTTGTTCTTATTGCCTAATTATGGATGAGTAGAGGAACATTTTACCTTGTGTAGGAAATGGCCACGTGAGCTTTCTAAGAACCCTTTCTAAGGGCTGTCATTCTGAGGACTAAGAAATATTATAATAGAATCAATTTGTGTTAGCATCTAGCCATGTGGAGCTACACAGACACATTACAGCCCAGAAGTGTTCCACTCTGTTATGTCCCTTTTCACACCATGTAATCCCCTCAGTTTCTAAGTGGACACACAGTCTGTCACTGAGTCTGCACGGTCCACTGGAATAAGCAGGGGTTTTAAAAAGCAAAGAAACCCACACTGGAGGGGACTATTAGTGGCTGCTAGATGTCACAGTTAAAGAGAAATCCATTCAGTTATCCAAGTACAGCTTCTAAATTTGGACTGGGAATACCAGAATTAAGGAGAAAGACTGAATCAGTATTAACTGGGAAGCTGGCTGGGGTTCCTTATGGAGAGAGTGCCAAGAAAGCAAGGGAGAGAAAAACCCACAAAGCAAAACAAAAAGATACAAACAAAAAAGAAATTTTGCCAATATCTCTAGAACTTGAACACTAATAGAAATAAAACTTCAGAAAATACTGAGACTAACATTTGTCTACCTCAGGATTCCTGCCTGCCAATACTGGAATTTAGCATAGCTCAACACTTGCTTGTTCCTAGCACAGTTACTCCCAGTAAATGCGAAACAGAGGCCCCTTAGCACAATCAAATTCTATATCCCTAGAGACTGGGGTGGCTGTTTGAGAGCAGGGAGCTGGGCTACCTGGAGAAGAAATGAAATTCCTCTTTGCTTTGTTCTTCAGGACTTACACAAAGGGAAGGTTAAAGATGTTAAGTTTCTTCAGAAAGAACCACTAGTCCTGGGAATGATTAAAATGAGTATGGTAGACAAATGAAGATTTAAAAAAACCTCAAAAAACTTTTAGAAACATACAGAGATGAGGTAATTCAAACCAATCAATCACTGAGACTTCTAAGAGAGATGTTTATCCTACTGAGTTTGATCATTCCCAGGAGAAGTGTCTAAACATTATCTTCATTTTTCATAACACCAGGAATTGCAATCTTGCTCATTGTTTGTAAATATTCTGATGAATTGCAACGTACATCTTGAGAAAAGGTAGAATAAAATGAATTATTTTAGAACAGTGCTCAGAAGTATTGTCTCAGTGATGGCTCTGCAGGAGGCAGAAAAGCTACGGGATCAGTTTTTGTCTCTGCAGGCACTGCCTATGTTCCTGGGGGCAAATCATTCAGTTTATCTGTCCTTCACTAATTTTTCTATTTGGTAGGGTTTTTCTCAAGGGGAGGATGGTGTTTATGCATTCTGACAATGGTCTTCATACATCATGATAAGCGACAGACAGTAAGAACCTGAGTAGTACAGAATAAATACTGTGATAGGATGTAAATTATTACATTTAAACATGTAAAAGTTGAAGTTTTAATTAGGTTAGTAAATTAATAATTTTACCTGAAGACCTGGAATGAAACAAACGCCTTGAGAATCAGCAATACTCTGTGCCATTTCTGCTGTTTCATCTACACTGGTGAAAAGATCTGTAAGGATGCATAAGTTGTGTGCTTTTATTACATTTACTTCAATTTCTTCATTTTGTCTTGCTAAGAGACAGAAATCTAGAGGTTGACTACTGCCTTTTGTAATATTCTCAGACTACATGTTCTAAGGGAAATGAGCACTTCTCCTCTATTTCATGTCCATCAGTCACATTAAAAAACTCAAACTATTCAGATGAAGGCTAAACTCAAAAGGATCCTCTCATACCTCTTGTGCTGTAGCCTTTTAATCTTCACATCCTGTAAGAGGTCATTATATTTCCAAATAGACAGAAATGGGAACTGAGACTGGTAACAGTGGCACCCTAAGAGTGCTAAAACCTTAAATTCACAACACATGAGATGCTTTTCTCCCCAAAAAGATGTTCTTATTGTCAGCCCAACTACCAAGCAATTACAGAGGAAGTCCTTAATATCCATATTTTATCACCACTCTTAGTATCTTTACAAGTGACTGACACTTAAATAAGGTAATCACTTCTTATCACATCACCTCTTGGATAGACCTACTTTTATTCTCTGTCCAGCCAGAACTTTTCTTTCATAACTCTACTGACACTCCTCTTTAGCTTGTTCTTCACCCACATGCAATTCTTGTACCAACACCAATCTTCATAATTTTAACTAATAATGCCCTTATGTGGCCACATAACATGTTTTTACAAAAGACTAGAGGTCTTCTGTACATGAGATCTATTGCTTTTTCTTGTCAAAAAAGTGAATTCTCCTATTAAAGATAAATTAGGTTAATCTAGCTAAACTTACCTTTGAAAAACCCATCCTAGTAACTTATCAGGAGTTTCAATTTACCTTTGTAACCTTCATGAATTTGATTGAAAACTTTGGATTGTACTGTGCTCAAACTAATAAACCCAAATCACACCTTTTCCTTCTTGTTGTCTTTGCTGTTACTGAATTATAAAAATAGTACCTCTACACAAGGACAGAAAAAGAAAAAATTAAGATTGACTTCATGTTGAAATTCCATATACTACTACTTCTAAATTCTTAGAAGTGATATGATCACACTAAAAGAAATTAAACTAAGTCTGCCTTGCTGCAGAAATTCCTGATTCCAAACCTTTACCACTATTATGCCTCATCTTCATCCATGGTGAGCCTCACCACCCTTACTGAGGCTTACCTCGTGTTTTGGCCCAATTCCTTCTTAGAGCAAAAGTTTTACCATTCTCTAAAGCTGATAAAAGCCTCTGAATTCTGCTTCTCTGCAATAATATTTTCAGAAAATAAAGGTCTTACTTGTTACAGTGTTTAAAGCAGCATGCCTTTTTTAATCTCCCTCTAAAACTTCCCTTTTTTTTTTCCTGTGGTAGCAACTGTAGGTCATGACCATTTTACTACTGACTAGCTAGAAATCCTTCATACTGTGCATACACCAATAAAATCCATTTTAAGTATGGATAAGTTTGATATGCATAAGTACATATTTTAACTGACAGCTGAGTCTACAGTGCTGAACTGAGTCATTTCCTCAAAAGCCTCGTGGCTGTTGCTCTCCAGGCTTAGTCAAATGTTGGATGACAAAGACCTGAGGACCAACCTGAGTCACATTTAGCCCTCAAGGGCACATACCAGAGAACATAAATGCACCATATGCACCAAAAGCTGACAATTTCAAGAAATAGGAAATTTTGTGGGGAGCTACACTTCAGGAAAACCTTTCCCAGACAATCTTTCCTTGCATCTTAGTAAAAATGTACTAAGTTTCTAAGTAAGCCAAGTAAATTTCTAATACACTCAGAACAGTTGTCCTATAAACAACCAGTAGTCAGCTACTACAGAGCTATTATTTTCTTAGTCTTTCATTAAACTGGAATGCAAAGCCCTTCATTACATAATAATACCAGCCAACAGGCACATTACCTCTATGTGAAGCAACACTGACAGTACCATTACTTGAGAAGTTCTCCACGTTATTTTCATATAAATCAAGCCTGTTATTAATTCTGAGATGTGTAGCTTGAGATCTCTCAAAAGCATTGCAGCAAGTGCTTGTGGAATCAGGAAGTTTGTCGTGCTCAAGAGAAAGCAAGGAGTTAAATGTTTCAGGAAGATAAAAGCCTCCATAGGTAGGAGAGTCTGAGGCAGAGACTGAAGAGGAGATGATTGTACAAGCCAAACTCCAACTCCCTGCAGCAAACCCATCCAGCACAGAACCTACTAACTAAGACACTGCATTTTTGCTGCCCAAAGCATGTGGGCTGGTTTCTTCAGTTATGAATTACTCAATTATTCAGTTATTCAACTATGAATAATAAAACCAAGTCCAGTAACATAACTATGAACCTGTAAAAAAGTTTCTTAAGCAGTTATATATTTTACCCTCTATAAAGAACTTACCTATATCCTGAGCCCACTTTATGGCAGTGCCAATGTCCGATATAGTGCCTTCAGTTAAGTAAACAACTTCTTTCCCAATCTTCCAACCAATCAGTGGATATAGACCTTCATTATTTTCCATGAAAGAAAACCACTTAGTTAAATTAAATGTTTCCAGAAAAACATATACAAGCATTAACCACAATAAGACCAAACAAAAAAAAACATTTATTCAATCCCTTTGCAGAATTGAAGCTAAAAAAAAAAGTCAGCAATAGAGGTTAAGTATATTGTTTGAAAATTTAGTGATGGGATTACAAGAGACTTGAGCAACAGGTTGTTGGACCAAAGTTAACAAAAAAAAAAAATCACTATCAAAATACAAAAAAGCCCCCTTTAAACTGAAGAGTTATCTGTACTTACTTTTATTTTTTATATGATAAGAGATTGTGAATACCTATAAATTTATCAATGTTTTCCTATTTAAGTCCATCCAATTTTCCCCAAGGGATTCTAAAAAGTCAGACTCTTTTCCCCCCAAAACAAAAAGCATCTTTCAAAGAGCTGACTGCAGATGTCCCCCAGCACTGCAGCTGGACAAAGGGCTCTTCAGGTCACTCAGTAAGAACCTCAGCAATCAGTGGCCACTGCAACAACAACTTCACCCAATCAAGCTCGGCAACTGTTGGAGTGAAGGAATCACCCAGACTTCATGGGACCCTGCTCAGGACTCGGAGATCAGGGGTAATGCAGCAAAGGTAAACGAGTCCCAGTTTACCTTTACGAGGAGCAGAAATGCAGCAGAAGAATCTAGGGATTCTCTCTGCTTTCTCAAAGTGACTTTGCTGATAGATGTGTTCCTCACAGAATCATCCCTAGTTTGCTTACCTGTGTCCAAGAGAGTTGCATGGTAGCACTAGTGCAGTTCCAGAAATTTGGTTACTGCTGGAGGCACTCTGGTGCTTACAATGTAAACCAATACAAACCAATCAGCAGCATCTATTTAGATTACAGTTTGTATTTGTCTCTTGAAAGGGAAAAAGTGATATACATATCTCCAGACCATTGGTACAGGTGTGCCTTACGATCTTTCTTTTTCACCAAAGATAAAGTCACAATGAAAAAAGAGCAAAAAATTAGTTGAGCCAAAAGTCCTAAAGAAAGACAGCTAATTAGGGACAGAGAAGTCCCTCCATCAGGTGGCCTTCCTGAAGATGCTCTCACCAGAGTCTCCAGTAGTGTAAAATAATCCTGCCTCTAGGCAATGGATCCATATGACACTCAGCATAACCGGAGTTACTAAGAACCATCAGACTGCCAGAGGGACAGCTTTTACATCTGTACAACATGACTCCATCACTGAATTGTGACAAGTGCTGTTCTTGAAGGAACTACTTTATTTCTGGTTTTTTTAAACTGTCATATATAAGAGCTAAATGTAGACCAGAAACTAGAACAGCAGCTGATGAGCAGCTTGCACAAAGATGCTGTAGGGATTAATCCTGCAGTCTTAAATACATATGTCAACTTTAAAGACTGAACAAATTACATTTAATGCCCAGGGCACTGAGAAAGCCAGGTACTTAATTTGTCCTACTAACTGTCCCCATGACTGCCAAAGACATAGGGAAAATCATTTTAGCATAAGTATCAGCCTAAAGCAGTAGAAGTTTCACAGCACTGCCTTAGAAGATTTTAACTTCTATCAGATCACAGCTAAGTATTTCCTTAAAACAATACAGAATGGAAAAACCTTACAGCATGGTTTTTGCTATTAGATTTCCACAGACTACATATGTATGATTTCCTAATGACATGATTAATTAGCCTAAAATCATTTGCATTCATAGGGAATTCTATGTCTATGCTATTCAGTTCTGACACATCTCATTTATTTGCCAGGGTCCTTCAAGACTTGAGCTGGTAAAAGACTCCTTAGCACACTGCTGTCCTCCTTCCCAGCCCCACCCATCCCACTTTAAGTTGCAGACTTCCCAAAATTAGTAACTCTTTAAAAATATGACAGACAGAGAGAGCTTGTGTGGGCAAATTTACTTCCGTATCATGTGTTGCTCTCTTGACAAACAGCCACCTCTGACAAATTAACAAGCTTGACAGACCACAAATGTTCAGACAATGAGGTTTTAAACACTAGAAGCATGTTGACCATTTCTAGTGTTTTAAAAGAAAACTAATAACTGTTAATCCTGCATTATCTCACTGCAGGTAATTTGATGCATAAGGGCTCAAGGGCAGGAACTTGATCTACTGCAACTTTTTGATGTGAGAAGCCAGAGGACCAATCCCTCTTTTCTTCATTCTTCTACTGTATAATACTGCTATCAAGAACAGGTGAAGAAAAAAAAAGAGGGAGGGATGCGGGTAGCAGACATAATCATGTTCTTAAGTTCTCTTCCTGAGAAGCATATTTCAGGATAACCAAGATGTGTATTTCTAATTAAAAATTTCCACAGTCTTGTGGACCCACACTCCCAAGCTGGTTTCTTACAGCTAAAGATAGAAGGAAAAGCACAGCCCTATTTTATCCCTTCATGTACCCTCATCATTAACAGCTATCAAGGAAAAGCTGAGTGTGTCAAATACTCTAAAACCAAATTTCAGTCTTACTTCTCTGTGATGCAAAGAGACGCTCTCCAGTATTCACATTCCAGAAACCTCCCGTTCCCATTGTCAGTTTAACATCTCCTGGGTGGAAGCAGCATTCTCCAAACATAGCTGACTGCTGATCAGCTACCTGCCAGAGCAACAAAAACAATGGGACAAGTTAGCTGTCAACCACCAACCTGCCATGCTGCCAGGTTTTAAATTATCGATGCAAATGGTTCAGAGTTCTGAATACAAGTAACTGTTCAGAAAGGAACTGAGCATTCAGAGAGGATTCATACACAATTTCTTAAGTATTTGCAGGCCACTCCAACAGTCAGACTTATCACAAGCACCAAATTACACCAGGTTTGGACACAACAGGAATGTCTGTAGCATTACCTGCAACACTGAAAAATGTTACGGAAACAAAAGCAATATTTTATGTTTTAATGTTTGACAAGGATAAATGGGGCATTTGCAATCCCAGAGAGCACAACAGAATAGCTTGGCTTGAATTCTTCTTTCTCCAAATAGAAAGCTGAAGTTTTGAGGTCTTGCCTTCCTTTTTCTCTGATAACCTTCCTGTACCAAATTATTCCATGCTCAATTTTTCAACAACAATAATGGTTATTAAATGTATTTACTTACGTTTTTGCCTTGGTGAAACAGGAAATTTACAAATTAATTTAGTCTACAGTTCTTTAAAAATAGCAGAAGAAATTCAAATTATCTAGGTGACAGTTTTTTCACTTAGCTCAATTCAAGCAGATTTTGCTACAAGTCATCACTTTAAAAAATAATGAGGTTTTCTTTTCCAAATTCTAACTACTGAGGCAAGAACATGTTATTTGCCACTTATTTTTAGTGGGGAAAAAAAAACCACATAAAAGGGACCACAAGTAGATCTATTAGAAAATACTCTTACATTTGTGCAGTCTTACTGAAGTCAAGGCAGAGTGGACTCTGTTGCACAACCCTGTGTAGAATAACTGATTTTAAGCCAGAGACACACACATTACCAGAGCTTAGAGTCCTACATTCAGTGCTTAACCATTTCGTCCCTAACCTTAATGAACCTCAACCTCTAAAAATCCCTTCCCATTCCTCTCTCTTCCTTTTCCCCTAAGGGTGTAAACTGAGTTTTTGGAGAAAAATTCACCAACCAATTCTAGCGTAGTTAAGTCATAGCAAAGGAAGCAAGTACCAAATCAAAGCCAGATAAATAGTGTAGGTAGAAATATACAGATTAAAGTAAGAAAATATTTTCACTCACCAGTGCCATTATTGGAATAGGTACCCCAAATATTTCAGAGTCAGCTGATCCGAAGTTGAAGCTTAAAACAAATGTTATGGAGAAACATCACAATACTAAATTGAACTTCTTGTTAAAATGAAATCTAGGTACATAAGGCCTGAGTCTGCACCACATCTGAAAGGTGATGCTACTGATTTATTTTAAAGAAAACATTAATACTATCACTAACTACTGTCAGAAACACTTACAGTAAAAATAAAGTTTTGGACTTCATATATTTCTACATAAAGTATAACTGCATATACAAATAACTTTGTGTACCTGCATATAACTTGGCCTGTGCAGATTATGTAGTATTTTTATAAAGGCAATTAATTTAACAGTTATATTCTTTTAATTATGTCTTCATAGTTACCTCGTGTCTTTCACTGGTGGATAAATAGACTTTGGAAGAGAAAGCAGATTACATAAAGTGGGGCTCCAACATTTCTGAAACGAAATGGAAAACATAAAAATGCCAGCAATCCTCTCAGAAGCACAATAAATAGCAACAACCTTTTCCCAGAACAGCACATACCGTAAAGGGTTCAAAAATGCCTGTAGAACTGGCACTGGAGTAATCTGTAGCATACACAGAACCTACCACGGAAAAAACATAGAACAAAGTAAGACTTGTAGATATTCAGACATTTGAGAGTTTTTTGTAAACATCTCATTGGCTCCCATCAAATATAAACTGAGTGTGTGTGAGCAAAATCACAGTGATACCATGGGCACAGAGACTTCATCTGCCGCTCACTGCAATGGCAATAATGACCTTATTTCCTCTCATGAACCTGGATAGAAGAGCCAACACATCCCACACCAACTGCATCACTCTCAATCATAATCCATCTGATTGCTCAGCATTAGCCCTCAGGACAGAAACTTGTAATTCTTTCACATTTGTAACAATTCTTTGGTTTTTTGCTTTCACAGCTACTTTTCTTCAATCAACACCAATTAGTTCTGTTAGTCCTCTTTAAATCCTATACTCTTAAAAGGTTGATTACATTGAATAATTATTTCCCTTCCAGGCAGGGCCCAAAGAATATTTAATTTAGGGGGTTTTTTAACAGTCAATACATTAAAATATTTATCAATTATCAAAAAGCACAAACTGTAAAAAAAAATTTGAATTCTAGGATATATAAATGACAAGTCATGAACATTATCTCTTAGATTCCAGTGCATTTTATTAATATTTAAGAGAAACTGTAACATTCACCTTTAGTCAATCTATACAGTAACCATGTGTCAATTGTCCCAAAGCAGCAGTTGTTTTTTTTGGCAGCTTCTTCAGCCTAGGAAAAAATATACATACAAACAAAAAGTATTTAGAACTGGATACAATAAAGAGAAACATACTTCCTAATTCCGTTTCTCATTTTCTTCATGGTTAATGAGAAAATATTTTTATTGTTTATGACTTCTGTAAGGAGTTCAAAATGTTATTTTCCTTAGGATCTTATTCCCCTTTAAAATAGGAAATTTGGGTTTCATCTAATTTCCACTAAATGATAATGTTTACAACTACAAAATTCATAAATAGACATACAAACTAATTCTCTCAAAACATGGCTGAATACATGGCTCTTATCAAGAGACATAATCTTCTGAGCTTCTTGGTTTGATAGTCACATATTTTAATTATCAGTGCCTGAAAAAACGTGGGAGAACGTTCATCTCACACAGAAAACTCAGCAGCTGCGTGACTTTCACTTTTATAATCCTCCAGATTCACACCTCACGTTCTCAACAGGTCCAACAAAAACATGCCTGTAAGAAATTATACTTGACCTTCTCAATAGTTAGCTTTGGGACAGTCAGAACTCAAAAGACTCTGGGGTTTCTTTACACTGGATAGAAAATGGATGATAACAATTTTCTTTTAAAAATTACTTGAAAATTAGCATAGAACATACGATGACTAAAGTTATAAATGCTATAGGTAGAAACAGGGAAAATGGCACAGATTAGAGCAATGAATATAGCAACAAATAGCTCAGGGTTCATTAGGTCATTGGATTATTCCAGCATAACTTACTTTATGTGCATTTTCTAATTCACACTATAACAAAATGCAAACCAAATAATATACGATATTATTTGTGAAATGCTGCAAAATGCTGGGATAATGCAGAGTGGAAAGATAAGAGTGCCTGTAGAAAATAAATACAATTGTCATGCAAAACTAGAGTGCAAATAGCTTTACAACAAAGTAAAATTACTAATTCTACTAATTGTATAATTATATCAATGAAATAAGGTGATTTGATTATGTTTCTTATGTCTGAAGAAAGCTTTTTTCTACTACATATTTCCAGAATCAGAGGAAAAAGCTGTATGAATACAAGTCACTATTTAGGAGGACAGGCTTTGAACATTAACACAGATGACAGTCTTTCTGGTTCTTCTGAGGAGAAGAACAAGACAAACCTGAAGAAATTACAGCCAACAGTCACAGAATCATAGAATGGTTTGGGTTGGAAGGGACCTTAAAGATCATCTACTTGCAACCTCCCTGCCATGGGCAGGGACACCTTTCCCTAGACCAGGTTGCTCAAAGCCCCATCCAACCTGGCCTTGAACACCTCCAAGTCACCTGCCATTATCATCACTCGAGAAAGCTGTTGTTGTTCCCTTTCCAGCTTACCTCAGGTATGTTTTTAAAAACCCATGACAACTTCATAGAAGTTTGTTGTGTTGAAAAAGTAAGAAAACTTGGTGCCAAATATCGATCGTTCCCAGTCAAGAAATGAAGCACTGTAAAAATAACATGGATTACCTGTTTCAAAAGAAAACAGTTACTTAATGTTTAATCTCACCCTTTAAAGGTTTCTGATCAATTATCTTTAAAGGATGACAACACAGGTGAAAGCTGCTGATTTAGAAAGCTAAAACTCTGTTAGAGTATCCTTGTGTAGGATCAAGCAGGGATCTTAAATCAACAGACAGCCTTCCTGCAACACACACCACAGGAAAGAGCAGCTGCACTAAAGTCTGTTTTTCCAAGTTCTGCTGGAACACAGACACTTCTCTGCACTACCAACACTGGTCACCTACATGAGTACAATGCCTGATGTGGCTGACAGCTTTACACACTCTTATTCCAGTGAAAGTTCTACAGTTGACAGGCTCGATCATGACAATATATTTAGCAAAATTTAATCATTAATCAAGCGTTCAAAAAGGAAATAAGTGGCAAGCCCAAGCATTTCATTTCCTATGGTGAGTGTGCTAGTTAGTTTCCACTTAGAGGAAAAGTAACTTCTGTTTTTCCAGTTGGAGCAAAGCTTTGTCTTCTAAAGGTATGAAGCACAAGCCATGAGCAGCATAAAATACACCTTCTACAGGTAATCTGAGCAAAGAGTACGTAAAAAAAAAAAACACCCAAGAAAAGAAAAAGCCCAAAGCACTGCCAACCAAGAACTACCCACCAACATGCAAAAACTGTGCTGTAGCAGTGTTAACATGCAACATTTTAATATAACAAGAGACTAAAAAGTAACAAAATGAATATTAGAACTACAGGTATCTTTTCCCATAATTAATTACCTACAGGCTATCAGTAGTGCATTTGTTTTCTTGGCACTATCTTCCATGCTAGTATTGCTCAGTTAAATGTTTTTAGGCTACAGCACGTCACATTACCATCTGAACAGGACTTATATACTTATATACTGCCCTTATTTGTCATAAAAATGAGACAGCTCTAATATGTCCAAGTTGTATCTAGATTAGCAGAGTTTTACCTTCAGCAGAAGGGACTTATTCCAGGAACGCACAAGTTCAGCACTTCTTATGTCTTGCCAACTTATGAAATTATGAAAAGGTTTCCCTGTCCTCCTGAAAAACAGTATTTGGACATTTCCCCTTTAAAACTACAGAACACAGACTGCCCAAAAAATTCAACAACATTCACCATTTCCAATCAGGACAATTAACACTGGGTCAATTCCCAAAATAAGTGCATATCCTCCTGGTGGATTCAAGGAGTTACTAGATAGGCACACAGACATTTGGAGTGCTAGACTTCTCACCAAAAATAAAAAATAAGTATGTGTTCAGCTCTTCCAAAGCATTAAGAACGAAAAGGCCATACACTTACAAACTGTTCTGAACTGTGTAAGGTGTGGCTGTGCAAACACAAGGGAACGTGAGTGACTGACATTTTTTACTTTCAGGTTGTGACTTAACACAGTTCAACATTTCTACAGCCTGCTCCCATCCAGTCCATGAATGTAAACAAACACAAAATAGTTTGAAACAACACACAATATACATACTTGTGCCATGTAATGAAAGTTCCTCTCTGTGTGGAGATGCCAAGACCAGCAATTTGCCCCATGTGAAGCCCTGCAGCTAAAAACCAAAAACAAATGAAAAAAAAAAGCACTTATTTGAAGAAAGAAACAAAAATACAGCTTCTTCAATATAATTATAAAAATCTATGGAACACTTAGGAAATTAACAGCTAAAGAAAATATAAATCTCTACAGGCTGCCCAATTAAGTGGCTAGAGCAGTGAAATGTTAGAGAACTCTGAGTCAGACAACTGATTCCAAAGCAGATAAACAAACCTATGTATTTACTAAAAGCAGTTGTGGCACACTGACTCTTTCTGCCTCCTGAAAGGCCTGGTGATACTCTACATGAATAATCCCAGAGACAGGCAGGCAGATTGCATAAACCTATATAATCAATTAAAATGTGCATTTCACAGGGATGAATGCAAAAGAAAGCACAAACAGAAGTACCTTTACACTTACAAAAAGAATTTTCATAAAGAAACAAAACTAGATCGATCCTGTAGGCAGTAAAGAGATTAATGTCAATATGGCCTGATTTTTTACATCACTTTGATAATGACGTGTCTCACTTTAAATATTTCTTAAGCAACCCTTCAGAATTCCTAAGAACAAATTGGCTTAAACCACGTACCACTGAATGCAAAGTATACTTCAAAATCAGAAGTACAAAAGTGTACATTTGGGTACACACCAACTTTGCTGTTAAATTTTACCTTCAAATAACTCTTATAGAACATTTTTTCTAATATATATAACTGTAAATAATTAAATATGTCCACAGCTATTTTCGTAGCAGCTCTAGTCAGCTTGCTAAGCACCTCCATGCACGCTTCCAGAAGCAAAATTACATGAAGGGAATATACATTAAGAAATTCCTCTTAAATGACAGACTACCTATTCTGTCCTAAATACTGTTACTCTGAGGGGCTCTCAGTGCAGCTACTTGAACAAATCACAGGTTAAGTATGTCTTGCTCATACAAGTTCTCATGTCAACTTTCCCATCCAAAGTTACATTTGTGTGAGCCTATCCTGGGGACTCTACACCCGCCACCCTCTCAGTGACAATCACAGAAAGGATTTCACAGGGAAAGGGCACATCCTGTGCAGCCAAACTCTACTTGTGCTTCTGCACCTTCCTTTGTCCTGGCCCTTGCATTCCTGCAGGCAGTGCTATCAAGCCCTCAATCAGCTGAAAGTTAAACCAGTGCTTTCGCAAGGCAACCTGCTCCACCTGCCTGCACAAGTGCTGCTGGTAGCAGGAGTGTATGGGAGGAGGACCTGGGAGTGGGTGGCTTGAGAACAGCAGCATTTCTTTTCCAGGCAAAGCCACAGGAGTACTACCACAGCTCACTACAGATTAGTGGCATGTGTTACTCCTTCCCATCTCCACAACCTGCATGCTCCCATCGCTTTCCCTGCGTCAGCTATCATGCTCTCTAGATGCCTACACGAGTGGAGTGGAATTCCATCAAAGAGAAAAACAAACCAGAAGACAAACATGGATATTTTTCAGCTAAGCTGTCTTTTGGATGGAGTACCAGAGTAAGAGAGGGGGGTGGGACTGTGCAGCCAAAAGTTTCCACCTTTAGGTAGGACTGGAGTACATCAGCTCACCCAGCTGCACGTGGAATCACACGTTTAGCTTCACAAGCCCTGCAAACCCAAGTGTAGCTGTGCCTTCCTCCTGCTTCCAGTCAGTCATTCCTGCCCCTGGTACCACACCCTCTCTTGCACCAGCACTAACACTGGTGAAGCTCTGCTGGCATAAACAACCGGACAGTGACTTGATTCAGGAAGCTGCTCCAGACTTGAAACAATCCTGTAAAGAGGAGGGTGGGACTGCTTCTTTTGACAGCAGTGTGAGGTCAGAAATGACTTTAAAATGACCTAAAAATGACTTGCCGACAGTACACACAGCTTGGCCACAAGACAACCTTCCCCTTTTAAAACTAGCTGAAAAATCTTGCTTCCTGATTTGCCTCACAGAACGGGAGTGAAGGAAGACAGTAAGGTCTTTTGGGGGTTGAGGTGGCATTGCTATTCTCGTGACAGTTGTGGCTGCTGAGAAAACAAACCAAGAGCCCAAAATAATCAGCTTACACCTGGTGATGGTTACTTTCCCTGTTCCCTAGGCAGCCTTCCAAAGGAAGAGACAAGCAGTTGTGGCTTGAGCCAGAGCAACACTTGGAGACCAAACTGCAAGAGGGGCTGAATGGGAGGAACTTAAAGCAGTGGACGCAAGAGTGTGATGTACACACACAGGCCAAGGAAGCTGAGGCATGTGGGAAAGCTGGGGTGCAGCTGACAGGTTCACAGCATCAGCGTGGCAGCAAAGGCGATCCATGCGGGATTGTAGAACACTGGAGCTGGATTAATGTGAAAGCTATGGGAGTTGCACACAGCAAGAGTAGAGTCAGAGTAGCATTCAGAAAAGGGGGGAAAAACCCACATCAGAAGTTTGGCAAAAAAGGGAGTTGTGTGCATTTAGTGTGTAGAGTACTAGGAAATTTTAGGCTAAAGTACAAATAGAAAAGAAGAGTAATACAGAAATTGGATGGTAAGAACTGTCCGTAATTTGAATGGGAAAAGTGGGAACATCAGGTTGTAATGGAGGAAGTACAACCCTGCAGCATCCTGAGTTTATGCTCTCATACACCTGCAGTCACACATACTGGTGTGAAGTGGCAGTGGAATAACGGGGCACTGGAAGGGGAACAAGCCTACTCTCTGTTCATACACAGAGGCATCTGCAGGAACAGGGACACTGGGGAAGGATGCATACACAAAAAGCTGGAGCAACAAGGTGCTGTCACTGATGTGTAAATCTAGTGTTCACTGCTTCTACTTCGATCCTAATCTGGCCCAACTGAAAGGAAAAAGGTCATTCCAGTGCCCTATCTTACATAAGGACTGAATAGACCTTAAAGCATGTTGTAGACTTGTGCTCAGTGATGAATTTTCAATACTAGTTAAAAATAATCTTATTATCTAACAGACTTTTTACTAATTTTGATAAATAAATAATTAATTTCTCAAGCTTTAAGCCCTTACTTTGTACAGCCTCTTTTATTACACCAACAAATTGACTCCACAGCACTTCAGGATCTAATTCAACCCATCCAGGACGAGGATAAAGCGACTCCACCTATTCAGGAAACACAAACAACATTTTTATGATCCCTAGTTCACAGAAGCCACCATTCTTGTGCAACTTGGTGCAAACAAATTTGCCTTTGCATTTTTTTTTCTTAATTTTCTGAATCTCTTGTATGAGAAGAAACAACAGTGTAACTTTTAGAACATAGTTGAATCTGGATGTGTGATCTCTAGAAGACTTCCTCTGTTCAGAGGGAATAAAGAAGCCCAAACGCCCAGGAACTTCAGAGGCTGTAAACTCCTTTCAGAGCTGCAGATTGGAAAGCAGATGCTCAGAGAGCCTTTTGGCTCCACTGCTGAACTCAGACGTGGATGCCTCTGAGCTCCTCATCAGCACCCCGGTCAGCAGGGCAGGGATCACCCACTAGAGGGTCAGCTCCACCGAGAGCAGCCCCTTCCACCTCTGAAATTCATCAGACTTTTACACTTCTCCTAATTGTAAAAAAGTTAATTCTGGAGACTGTCTTGATCCCAAAATCACGATCAGTACAAACGAAAAGCAGCCCGAAATCCCTGTTCCCAAGTTAACACTTTTTCACGCGGCACTGTTACGCGATGGGACGCGGGTAAACACCAAGTCCTACGCAAGCCTCAGCTATGCCCTTCTAACAAAAGTCTTTTTGTTCCCAGAGGAATTAGTCGAGAAGCGATTGAAGCGAAGGTAACAGGGAAGGGTGGGCGGGAGCGAACGGGGCGAGCGCTCCGGCGGCACCTGCGGGGCTCGGGTGCTGCGGGCTCCCTTCACCCCGGGGGCCCTGGGAAGGGGGAGCAGGGGCGGGCCCGGGAGATGCCCGCGCACCGGGACAAGCCAAGGAACCCGCCGGGTCCCGCGGGTCAGAAACGCTCTGGGCAGAGCGGGCACGTCCGGCCCCGCCCGGCTCCCGAGGCAGGTGCCGCCCCAGGCTGCTCCCGCCGGGCCGAGCTGAGGGAGCGCCGCGGAGCCCGCCCGGACTCACCTTCCTGCAGCTGGAGCCCCTGACGGCGGCCGCGCGGTCATAGACGTGGCACTTCACCATCGTGCTCCCCACGTCCACCCCCAGCACGTACCGCGCCGGGGCGGCCGCGGCCCCGCTGTCGGGCTGCCCGCACGGCATCGCCCGGCCCGGCCCGGCGCTCAGCGCGGAGTGAGCGCGGCCGCGCCCGCCACAACCCGCCGGCCTATGGGCGCGGGCGGCGCGGCGGGGCCGCCGGGCGGGCAGGTGGCGCCCGCCGGGGGCGGTCGGGGCGGCCTCCGCAGGCCGCGGGCCCGGGGCGGAGCCCAGCGCGGGAGGGGCAGCCCCGCCCTTCGCTCCCTCTGCGGGAACGGGCCTTCGGCCCCGGGGCCCACGGACGAAGCAGGAACGCCAAAGAAAAGCCCCATGTTGCGTCTGTGCAGTCTCTAAATCCAGCAAAAGCACGTAAAAGGTTTTTATAGTGAAACACGAAATGTTACAGGGCTTTCTGAAAGGCGGAATTCAGCGAGAGCCGCTGGGATATGTGCCCGCGGTGCGATGTTGAGTCCCGGCGGACAGCCTGCCTGACCCCAGCTCCTCCTCACAGCAAACAACGACTTGTGTTCGCTCCCGGGATCTGTCACTGAAGGCAATGAGCATCAGCGAACAAACTGCACGTAATTACACAAAGTCATCGACTCGTGCCATAAGTCTGCTTCATAGAGGGAACCGCGTTTAAAATCACTGTTGGAACAGTTACTGCCAGAAATGTTTTCGTATTGCCCTGAGATGGGGCTGTGGTTTTTAACAGAAACAACCAGAAATATTCTTAGTTAACCAATAAAATTCAGGATGCTAAACCCCAAACTAGTATCAATAGAATTTAGTTTTAACCCAAATTTAATCAGAAGAATTAGTCAATTACTTTTAAATCATTTAATTAGAGCAGAAAAAGCAAATGCAAATACACTGAAAATATTTTCCCCTGGCACTTCTGGTTTGACCCCTCTTACAAAAAACTCTATTATGAAAAACAAAACAGTATTATGTGGTATAACAGTCAGATGTGATTGGATCTTTAAACCAGGAATACTAATGACAGTGAAAGCCACATTAAGAAGAGGCTTCTCACCTCACATGGGCAGCTGCAGAGGTCACTGGGACAAAGGTTTGGATCACAGGGAAGTGAAGGCACATGAAAGAGAAAACCAAGGAATAACTGCTTTACCTCTCCTCCTTAAGGACCAACATTAAAAAGTCACAATCTCTTTGGCTTTTATGTTCTCTTTCACTGTAACTTGACAAGTTAATACAGCTAATAGATGTATGTCAAAGAAAGGTATCAAGCACTTCATTATCTGATTAAGACTACTTTCTTCCAAACTAATTTATCAAAAGAGCATATTAATAATTATTTAAAACTCCCAAAGAAAGCTCCCTCAATAAGATTCAACACATGTAACTGTTATGAAAGGCTAAAATCTCTCCAAATACTAAAAAACTAAGCCTTAAAAAAAATTGGAAAATGCATCTAGATATCCTTTGTGTTTTTACAGTATCAGTGCAAGTGGGACCTGTCTTACTGCAAGATTAAGCAAAACTTCAAAAAGAAAATGGAGGTGCAGGTTACTTTCTTCTTTTACAAGTTCTTAATGTAACAAATACCTTCTGATTGCATGGAAGTGACTGTAAGCAGATTTCTTCTTGCAGATCTTAAATTCTATGTAATATCTTAACAAAGAACTTAGATGTGTATATGGTGGAAAAAGATAACATGAACCAACTTGCAAAACTGCACTGCATATGTAATCTCAGCTATAGGCAGCATGTATTAAAATTGCTTCATTTATGAGAGGCTTATGAAATACAAATTTTATATTATTGTTCTGTTTGTAGTGTGATAAAAGTAATGCAATAGAGGAGGCAATGGGCTTTCAGACATGCATAGCTTGTCCACACACGACTTATCTGGCATTAGCTTCTGTTGTTTTGTCATAAATAATACCATTCCCACACACTCTTCACCTGTCAAAAACCTCTGTCACCCTCAGAGAAAAATCTTATCGCCAATACTCATAAAACCCCCAAGTAAATCTTAGCACAGACAAGAAACATTCAATTTGAAGTGAAAATGTATGGACTCCTTCCTTTTATACTGTGCTGCAACGCTGATAATGAGCCTGTGTAACCTCTACCACCACCCTATGTCCTCCTGTTGGAGTGAGAGCATGCAGGTGCCACCTCACTGCTCACCAGGCAGAGAGCTGACACACCTGGGGCCACATACCAAGCACTGCAGCAGCTGTGTCCTGTATTTCTGCATCTTCTCTGCTGAAATCCTCAGTTTCTTTGATCTCTGGAAAGCGTGACTGGTCTTATCTTTTACTGGACTATCAAACCAAATGAAGGAGTGGAGGCACTCCAAGGACCTGTCCAATGCTGTAGCAAAGGAAAGAGTAATTAAGGAAAACCAATCAAATGGCAGAACATCAGGGTCAGGAAGATCCTACATGGCTGGCAGGGACAGCAATTTATGAGTAATTTATATTGAATATTTGTAAGCAATGTTATCACACTCAGCATGTTTCAGTCAGCAAGAAATACACTTCAGAGGATGATGCCAAGCAAGAGGGAGTTACCCAGAGGCCCTGAGAGATGGGACTGATACAGACCCAGCAGACCAGACTGCCAGAAAGAAAACATGATCTTGAGACAGTCTAGACATTTTCTAGGACCAGATTATTAAATAAAATTTCCAAATTATTAATTAAACTGTATTTCAGATAGTTAACTTATTCTTTCTTTAAAATAAAGGTATTCTAGGGTGCATTTCTGTTTTGTGACTGATACATAGAAACTTCTTCATTCACCCCAGGCTTCCAGTATGAATCAATCAAACCTGTCACTGGCACTGCTAACAGGATTCCAGCTATTGAAATCTAGGAGAGCAAGACACAAAACTTGTAGTGCAGGGGTTTTTTCTCTATATTTTCTTCCTTAGCTGTATTTTGTCAAGATGCATCTATTCTACTGCCTCATCAAACTCAGTTACCGTTTTACCCATTTCCTTAGCTCTACTTTTTAACAAGTTTTAACATTATGAAAGCATTGACCTCAGGGCCTTTAGTCCTTTTGCACTTAAATAAGAAAGAGCCCACTAATTTCTGTTGCTCCACTGGCTGGTGCAGCCCACATCCATCATTCATTAACCCTCACCTGGAACAGATAGCCCAAAATGAAAGTGATGATCTTGAGGCAAATGCTGCAATAATTTACCATATGACCCTTTCTCAGCAGTTCCTCCTGTACTCCTGCCAGAATTTACTCCTCTCCTCAAAGTCAACAGACAGAACTACATACAATGACATGACTTAATATATCACGTTAGATTTGTGTGTCATTTCAGCTTTAGGCAGCCATAGGATGTTTCTTAAGCAGTTCCATTCTTGCTTAATCACCCTGCTCTGATGCTACAAAACCTGCAACAACAGAGCTGGTCTTGGGGCTCCACAATGAACTCTCTGAAAAATAACATAGGGGAAAGAGTTCCAATCAGAATAATTCCTTGATATGGTTCATAATGTGGCTATTCAAAAGGTTTGGCATGACCCAGTGGGAGCAAGTAATAAGAGACTGGTTAAGCCTGTATTTTCAATAGAGAATTGCACATCAAATCTGTGCCTGAGGCACAGGCAGGCTTTCCTTGCTGCCAGCTCTGCAACAGAAGAAACCTTTAACAGGAAATGAGGTGGACTTTGGACAATCAAGTTTTAAGCCAAGAATTTATCTACCAAAGCAAGTGAAGTGTTTCATTATTTGCCCATTACTTTTACCCAGCCTAAGGAATATCTACATTTGGAGATATGCAATTGGTATTAACAAGATAATGTCCATCATCCTCTGGATGTCTCTTAAGGATTTATTACGTGGACTGAAAATGATGTAACAATGAACAACTTACTTTCTTACAGAGGTTGAGTTCCTGTATATATGTATATGTGTGTGTGTATATACATATGACAGCCATTTGTACCTAGAAAATTCAGGGCTGAACAGCTCTTTAAAAGAACATTGATTTCAAGTCTAGAAATTCACAGGAAAAAAATCTAAAAATAAAGACAGAAAAAAATGCCCATCAATGAGGCTTAGTCAGAAGAAGAGAATGGATATACTAGAGGCTAAAGGGATGAAAAAGCACTTAAGAACTATTGTTTCAATATGACATAGCCATTAAAAAAAATTAGAAAAGAAAGCAAAGGGAATAAAAAGGAAAAAAAATTAAACTGAGGAAAATGTAGAAGGCAGCAGCTCAGTAAACTCACAGGTTCCAGCAGCCTATACTGCCCTCCATTTACTCTGCTAAGTTTTGATGATTGACAAAACATTTCAGCTGTTTCAAATAAATAGGTACTGGAAGAAACACCAGGAACTAACATTATATGTCACCTTCTATCCCAAATTAGTGCTAAATCTAAAACATGCTAAGTTACTCATAAATAGATCACGTAGTTGCATTGGACTCACACTCTTGCTTTGCTGTGTACCCTCAACATGCTAAAAGTTGATGACTTTGAATTTTATTGTTACTTGCACAGAAATTACACTTTGGTTTTGTTGGGTTTTTTTTGCCAGCCTTTGTCTTTCTTGCAGTTACACAAAATAAAGGACTAGGTGTGATCATCAACTTCCATAAAACATTGCCAATGCAGTGATGCTACTGAGCAAGTTCTACCAGGAAAAAAAAAAAAAATGAAAATTGCTCTGTCCTGTCAAGTAATAGAATCAGGTTTAGTGTTTGCACTTGATGGCATTGCAACTCCTTCTGTTTTGCTTTGATAGGTACTGCCTTTCAAAGCAAAAATAAAACAGAAAATTTGTGCATTATAAAAAAATAAGAGTAAGCACCCCATCAAAGAGTGGCAGCAGTAAGGAACCATTGTTGGAACCACAGATTCTTTTGTTAATAAACAACAGCTACTTACCTCATGAGATTCGATTCTTCAAAACATTTATCAGTTACAGTCTCAATAGTCATGGGTCCTCATGCACCTGAATTTGAATTCTTTTGGCCAAGAGTGTGTATTCAGACTGCCCTTATGCCCTTGGTGTCACTGTGTCCCCTTTTCCAGAGACAGAAAGAGAAGAACATAACTGTCTCTCAGTAGTAAGGAAGGTTGATTATGGAATACATATGGAGATCACATTGCAAATAAAAAGAATAAAAAGCATCCTTATTGTAAGTAACAATTCCTTCTTTGAGAGTCCTCACTCCCCTGTACAGTTCAGATCAATTCTGAAATTCTGAAATTGAACAGAAGTCCCTTAATTTTTGAAGGGGAGCATCCACAAAAGATTTATTATGCACTAACCAATATATTTTCAAGTTTTCCCTTTATTTGTTTTTACTTTCTTTAATGCTATATATGGAGAAGAGAAAAGTAAGGGGGCAGAACTTGCCATGCAGGGTAATTGCAATACTTAAAAGTTCATTGAATAATAATTTAAAGAGAGCTTAAGAAATGCAAGATTATATCTTGGGATCTTCAAATTGAGCAATATGACCTGAGTGTGTACACAACCAGAGTGTTCCCTACAGACACACCACGTTGCACACACAGTTACACAAAGTTGCAGCAGCTGGTCACGCCAAGAGCGCACTCCATTCTTTGTGTGAGTTGCTTTAAACCAGCTAATTCACACAGTAATCTACAGGAAAGAAAATAACATCTCTCTACATGAAAAGCTGGTGCTGCAGTTGGCAAAAGACAGATTTTAACAACTAGCAAAAGTCTCAGCACAGTGTTTTGCTTCAGGTACAGCAATAGAGTCAAACATTTCCTGGTAACCATGGCTTCTCCTATTTTTCAGCCATCAGCTGGTTTTGCACCTTGTTCAGAATCACTAGAACTGAACTTACTGGAAAGTAATCTTACTGACTTCTCTATAGCTTTTTTTAAATTTTTAATCTAACTGATGACAAAGGGCAAAGAAGCTTTGGAAGATCAGTATCTTGTTGAATGCTTTTAATTGTAATGTGACCAACACCCTTTTGAAAAAACCTTGTATTTTTATCTCAGTTATAGTTGAAAGTCATCAAGAAACAGCTCAGGAGGGCAGGTGCTACTTCTGAGAATCACAGAAATTGGGCTTCATGAGATTTAATTTCTATCTTAAACTTTTGGGTTGGAGCATACAGCAGTTCCCATACAGTATTTGGAAATAAAACAGTGAAAATAGGTAATCTTTCTTGTTTCAATATTTAATCCAAGCAGACACAGACACAGTTTATAAAATTACTCTATTGCATTAGAGTTCTATATAGCATTTAACTTTTATGAATGTTTTTCCTTCAGTGTAGCATATATTCATATTTCAAAATATCTTTGCACAGTCCTTTGTGCAACTACATGCTAAAAATCTGCAAATGCACACTTAACACTAAACAGCACAAAAAATACATTCTGTATCCATTTATATGCAAATTTTAAACATTTCACTTGGCAGATAAACAATGAAAAGTTATTTTAAAAAAATCAGAAACTACAAAAACACGCACATAAAAGTCTTCCCTTTTGGATTTTTTAGTAAAATACTGCTCTGTATAAGATCTAATGAAAAACTCCAGTGCTTACAAAATACTTTTTATCTATGAGAAAAAGAAATGCTTAAATTTATATCTGTATGAATTAAACATAACAACCTTGTTAAAATATAAAAATGAAATCATGGGGGACATGGCAGAGATCAATGCAACGTCACATCTACCAGGACATGTAGAACTGTAATTAACTGGGCACCAGGCAGGCGGTATCAGAGAAGAGATCAACTAAAAATCAGGGACTAATACAATATGCAGCAGCTACAGAATAAAGTGTTTAACCTCTATAAATACTACATAAAGCAATTCCACTTGAGGAGGGAGCAGAAATCTTAGTCTGAAGTAGAATAATTAATAAAAACTGCTGTGTTCACTGGCAAGAGTATAGTGTCCTTCATAACTTTGTTTCTAAAAACTCTGCATAAATTGGCTATCCAGATACATCAACATTCTGTGATGAAAGAATCTAACACGGTCTCATCTCCATCCTGGGAATTTCTAAACAGGGATTTTCTCTCATGACCCGATAATTCACACGGGATATGGGGGATTAACACCTGTGTCTCATAACTAACTTTCACATAACCACTTCTCAAATGGCAACATCACGTCAGTCTCGTGCTGCTAATGACAATAAATCACCAAAAAATACAACTTTCCCTTCCAACCCTCTTGAGACCAGATGACTACAAAGAGAACAACAAAATCAATGTAATTTAAGACTACATATAGACTTTATAGTTTTGTGATACTAAGTTAAATGATATAAAATTTCTTAACCTTGTTTTTGCCTCTGTGATCCTTTTTATAGGTTGGCTGCTATTCTACAAATACTGCTGTTTTGGAGAAATGAAAATTAAAAAATCCTATAACACAGTAAAAATGTGAAACTTGATACTACACCAGAAACAGAGGCAAAGAACAAATGAAAGAAAGTCTACGGACTTGCAGATCCAGCATGAAACCTGTTTGGAAGCAACAAAATGAATCACTCAAGTATGCTTTATTTCTGTTTCCTGGGCCTTACGAGGAAAAATATTTTCTCTAGAACATATTAAAATAAAGAAGAAAAATTAAATTTAATCCACGTCAGCAAGCAGCACCAGAGTTTCAAATTTTTTCCTAGACTAAAGATTTCACATTAATGTCCATAAGAATGGTATATGTCAGTTAAAAATAGTACAAGGACCTTTGAGCCTTCTTTTTTTCCTATATGAACTAATGACAGTTCTGTCCAAAAATGCAATTCAACTTTTTGTCTCAATATTCTTATGGAACAAATAGTAATAGTTTCTGATAATTCAATTTTGCCACCCAGAACTTCTATCACAAAACTAAAAAATAAATATTAAAAGTAACTAGTAACAAAAAATAACCTAGTATAGAGAAGGTTTCAGGGCACAGACTATTAAAGGAAGAAAAGGACTCTAAGTAAACATAACTTTGACAGCTATCTGGCACAAATGGACATCTTTAAACTCTGGCCATTTCTACAGTTTAGAAAAAAATCAGGATATCATTAGCATTTAGGAAGCTATCCATATATGTAGTAGATAACTATGTCATTTTATCACGGGGAAAAAAATGAAACTGATAGATTAAAAAAATTAAATGTACTTTACCAAAGAGGTCTCTACTTTGCAAATATGTTTTTGTTATTCAATAACATCCTATAAATGAATCTCCTGGAACAGACTGTGCATCAGCAATCACTTTTTGCCACTCTAACACCAGACACACAATAACACCTGTGTTCTGAAAGCTGTAAAGCCCTTGCCCTCTAGCACAAACGCCAGCAGTTCGTACTTAGAGCGGGTTTGGCAGTTACACTGTAGTTAGCTCTGAGTCACATTGATTCAACTCAGATGGACCTGGAGAGCCAATATAGAAGCTGCATTTAAATGACTTTTCCTTTCTGTCTTCTTAGACTACCTAAAAATAAGCTAGAGTACAAAATGTCACACTGAACAGTGTTAGATGCCCAACTTATTACCGCTCCACATCCCTCCCCAAGAGCAGAGCAATCCCGAGTTAAGGCTGCCACTGTTATTGCTGCTTACCCGATAGAGTCTGTAAGCCACTGTTTAGAAACCTAGGCACAATGGAGAGCATGGCAACCTGAACTCAGCATTTCCTGGCTCTTGCTAATTTGAGTGAAAATAAAAATAAGTTTTAACATAATTTTTAGAGTTTTCATGACAACCTGAAAATCATTGCAAATAAAATGTATTTCCTTCTATATTATACTTAAAGTGGCTGGTCTTTTTAATAGAGATTTCTGATTTTTTTAAATGATAGAACATAACAGTGGGGGAAGAGTTAAAGATAAAATACACCTAGCTACCATATTTATTCTGAAGATTTTGGTGCGCCAAAATTGACAGCCAGTTTTCTTGGCTTTCGCTTGCTGGAAGTGTTTGGTGTTGATTTGTTATGAGGAACACTTGGAGTAGCCACATTGTCTTGAAATGAAACAGTGGATTGAGCAGCTGGAGGAGATTTTAAAGGAGCTGAAGAACTATCTTGCTGAATGTGGTCAGAAGACACTGGCTGTTCATTCTTTAGTGGTGCAGCTTGAGGGGAACTCTGAAACTCCTTGAGTTCAAAGTTTTTCTTGCTAGCAGCCCTTTTTTTAGTTACCTTTAAATTAAATAAATATTATTTAACAGAATGCATTCTCAAAAAAATATTCCACTTTCAGAAAACATGCACACAATTTCTTAAAATAATTTTCTAATACCAAACAGTACTTCACAGGGGGGGTGTTATTGCATTCATCACGTAGGCACATCTTTTACAAAAATACCATATTAAGACAAACGTGCTGGTCTTACCTGCAGAGGTATAAACTGGTTGTGAGAACCAACTGGTATCGTTCCTGCAAGGGACACATTTCCTGGATAGGAGCCCGGATAATAATGCTTAGGCACTGGAGTTCCCCAGGACACTGGACCAAACATATGAGATGATGGAGGAGGCATCATATTGGCTACGAAAACAAGGAACTTTTAGCTCACTTTCCCAAAAAAGAGGGTACAAACTCCCCAAGAGTAACCCAACTACATTTGTCTTCATGTTGTTTACCTTTCCAATAAAGCCTCGTAATTCTTCATATTTACTTCAAAACAGCTAAGTATTTATTATCATCCTCCCACACCAAACAAACAGCTCTGCTTTTACAGAACTACACCTAGATGACAGCACAATTAAGAGCACTAAGTTATGGCATCTGCACTCCAGAGTGCACAGAGCACAGGATCTTCACATCCTCAGCAGAGAGAACTGTATTAGCAGAAGGCTGCAAGCTCAGGCCATCCTTAAAAACACGTCAACAACAGAGAAACCTTGGGGAAAAGAGATGTAGCAGCTGCCATGTGGGTTTCTAGGATGCTACAACTGTGCTGACTCATTAATTACTAGCTGTGAATGTGAGCTTCAGTAGAACACAAAACAGCTGGGAGCCAGAAACAGCCCTAGGACTTCTAGCAATTTTTGGGGGGGTTACTTACCACGCTCATGTTTGGCTGTGTACAACAGGGTTGTGACGTAGCACTTCAGTGAAAGTTGGGTATAATCAAATAAAAACTAATGCATGGATAAACATTAACTATATGGGGGCAGAGGGGGAATCCACGTAGAAAGTCATGGAAGACACTTCTTATGAAATCTGGACTATGAATACCAGCTTTGAACTAATTCTGTCGTTTTAAAGGGAAAAAACGCCAAAATGGAAAAAGCACCTAAGACTGAATGGATAAATACATTCTTGAGGAAAAGAAATAACTGGGAGAGACATGATTCTTTGTATTGAATTCATCTGCATATTGATGAGAAGAGGTTCATGAACTGTTTTCAAAACAGTTCAGACAAACAAGCACACGCATGAAGACCAAAAAATGGCAGTTCTGGAAGACATTCATTTTCATATGAAGAACTGCTACAGTTACAGAATATCATTATATTATTTGAAATGTGTTCCAGTCAAATACTTACCAGGGGGTTGTGCAAATACTGGAGGAATTGATCCAGGCGGTACAGGAACTCCAAGTGGTTGATAATTTGGAAACACTGCTGGAGGTGAAGCAAAGTTTACTCCTATAGAACTCTATGAAGAAGGAACCAGAGGGTTACAAACAGATGCAATGCAAGAGAGACAAAGATTTTAAAAGATTCTTTACATCCTCACCAAACGCTGTAAAGCAAAAAACGCAGCTTTCTCCTTCGCTTCAGCTTCGGAATGACACTGAGGCCCGTGAACCAACAAACCATTCGACAACTTGATGTGGCAAACTGTCATGGTCTAGAAAAATGACAGAAGATTTTTGAGGGAATTTATATTGCTGACAAACTGTCAGACAGAAACAGAGGATTTGGTTGCTTGGTTGTTTTTTAAAAAGACGGAGGGAGTTAAGGTTTATTTTCTGATGTATTTCAGTGGTCAGTCTAAATATCTAATATAGGACAGTTGATAAAAAATTGAGAAGTTGAACTTTTGCAGGAAAAGCTTTTTACCTGTGGTGTTTTTAGGAAAGAGAAATCTGGTTGTGACATT